CTCTAGCTCTAGACCAGATCCATGAAACATATTCTCATCCAAAATAAAAAACTATATTTCTATATTTATTCATATTTCACAAAACTTTATATAATAAATAATAATAACAAGGTTTGTATTTGAGTCCAAAGATTAATGAGGAATGCAGTATTTCTCGTGGCTATGCTGCCCCAGCCGTAACCTATATATTTTGCCACATTCAGCGCAGGCATTAACATTGTCCACCAGTGGTCCATTTAGATTTTCTTGTGGTCTCAAATGTGTATCTCGCAGCCTTTGTAAGTGACCTCCAACTTTCTCGTTCTGAAACCGCATGCAACCAGGTGCCCTCTGTCGGGTGGGCTTTCAGCTCGTTGATTTAAGGGTAGACTAGACATATGTTCCTTGAACTCCCAGGTTCCCCTACCTTGACAGTATAAACCAAAGCAAAGAGTAATAGCATAAAGAACTATGGCTTACTGAACATCGAATACATGTCATTCAACTGAATAACAATTGTTCAACATGAACAATATTAATAACAACGATAAGTTAACTTACATGAGTTAACAACAAGAGTGTACATTTAACAATTTAATGAATGTATGAATATTATGACATGAATGATGAACGAAGATCAATAGTATTTACAGAGCAAATACAAGGTAGACATATTGTGCAAATGAAATATAGCACACCTTAAGCTGGCCCCCAATTAGATCTGTGCTCGTGAAGGCCACACACAATCATTCACCATACCATGAATGCAAGAACCAGACCATACAATCAGGCTTGACTCCAACAGAGTCCTTAGAAACATCCTACAAGAAGCAACTCTAGATGCGCACGACACTCCCTTCTATGTCAATTAAAGCAAGTTTGCCCCTTAACTGGTCTATAAAGCCTTACCATGGCGCACCTCTGTTAAAGTCAACCAACGAAAAAAGACTCTAGATGCGCACGACAGTTCCTTCTATGTCATTTAAAGCAAGTTTGCCCCTAAACTGGTCTATAAAGCATTTCCGTGGTGCACCTCTGTTATGTCAACCACCGAAAAAAGACTGCTTTTGACATACGTTCATCTCCCATATGGGATACATGCCCTGCCAAGCATAACTGTCTGACCATAAGAAGTCTCTCTGTACTGTCCATACCTGCGTTTGCAAGGACATCACTATTTGTAGTGCGTATGTCCATGATGGAGCACAAGCATCTTTGGTGAAAGCATTCAAGTAGTCTTAGTTGCTTTTTGTATAATACCCATGTCTCAGATCCATATAGGAGGGTTGAGATGACAGCTGCACATTGATTTTTGTAGAAAGGTGGAGTGAATTATTTTGCCAAACGTACACCTGGAGGCATCCAAAAGCACTTCTGATGCTTATCGACTTTCCATGAAAGCGATGTGTCATTTCATACTATGCTTTTTAGATATGTGAAGTGGTCCACCACGTTTTTTATGACACATTTAAAAACACATAAAATGATTGTCTTGACCTCATTATCTTTTATCTTGTATAAAAAACACAGACGTCACTTAAAAAAAAAAAGATGATTACCTCCAATGCATCTAGTCAGGCGTGTTAACCAATGACTTTTTATTATCTTCAACATCAATCCAAAGAAAATCGAGCCTTTTAAAACTGCCACTCTTTCAAAACTGCTGGTTAAATCATTTATTTTTTGTTTGCTGTCTGTTTTTAGGGAGATGTGCCTGTTGATGAGTTTGGATTGCCGCAGATTCCACAGAGTGCCAAATAAGGATAGTTAACACTTAATATCATTTTGTCTCGTCACTTTTAACTCATTTTGGAAACAATTATCATCGCCAGGGAATTGCTATAGACGAGTAAAACAGCCTTTATATATATATAATGATGACACATAAATATATATACGATACCTGTCTTGGTAGCAGTTTTTTTTTTTTTTTTTTTTTTATAAATTTTGTGTTAACCTTTGTCAACAACTTATTATAAGGTACTTTTAGTTTTTTTATTATTTAAATATCTTTATTTTGTACATATTAAAAATTGCATCGGTAGTTTATACATGTGATATGTTATAGTAAGTTATATTTAGTATTTAGCTCTGATAAGAAAACCTAAATTATTTTTTTTTATTTTATGCATTTTGGTTCATATATGTTTCATAATGAAATATTAAGATTTTTATTTTTTTTTGTTTTCGATTTTCAAAATTATTTTTATCCCATTATGAATTAGTAGCAATTAAGGTTTAGAATAATGAATGATCCACGTTTCAGGCTTTCTCTCTATGTTAAGATGTTAATATTAATAGTATGGATGAAATTTATTCAAAGATGTGCTCTGCATTGCTGTCCTTTGAGGGATTTAATACAAAAAAATCTTGGCTCCTGCAATGTATGTGGGTATGATACGTTTACCTATTCTGAAGTATGACCAGAAAAAGCGTTGACTTGCTGAAAATGCTTTGGTCATCTTATCTATTTTTGTAAGGTAAAACTGAAAAGATTATTTTAAAAAGTAGAATAGTGTTAATAATTTATGCAGAAAAAAAAAAAGAACTCTTATATTTCACCTACAATATTCCCATTCTCATCCTGGTTCTCCATCCTACTGTACATTTGGCTCCCTGGTCGTGCGGTTTGCGCGCTGGACTGTCGTTTGGATTTATCGACGGTTGAGGGTTCAAACCCTGCCTGCTCCCATCCCCCGTCGCCCTGCGGGAGGTTTGGACTAGGAAGTAAACTATCTTCAACTCTGAAGGAACATCCAAAACAAACAAACTTTTATTTACTTTTGGATTATGACTCTGATTGTAATGGCTTCACTATCCTTAATTTCTCATAATGAATAATTAACACTTTTGTTGTGATATAATGCAATACAATGAGATAAATAGTTACCAGCAGGTTTTGTTTTTTTTGTTTTTTTAACTTTTGTATTAGAACAATTTTAAACATTGTTAGTCAGTGAAAATTGGATAAGTTTATAGTATAAAGCTCTTATATTTAAAAAACAACAACATTTTTTACTAGCAAATATATGTTTATATATATATATCTACCACAAAGTATAAGATTTTTTTTCTGTTCTTAAAATATTGAAAGCTTATATTTTTAAAAAAACTATTGGTCTAGTTTAAATGTGTTTTTTTCTTTTGTTAGAGACAAGCTTATCTTTTTTGGAAATTGTTGCATTGGAAGTATCAGTTTTGTATTTAACTAGTAAGCTTTGTTTATTCAAAATAAAAATAGCATATCATATATCATTATATTGTCAACTAGTGCCCAGGAAATAAGCCTGCTTATGTTTGCGCTAGCAAGACTGATTTATCCATTGAGAGCTACGATATTTTTAGATATTTTACTATATTTGTTGTCATTTCATGGCTTTTTAAAATAAAAAACAATGTCAAAGCTAGACCTCCATTGCCTTCAGCTTCAACTCGTATTTATTTTTATTATGAGGAGAAATGTTAATGATTCATACAAAGGGACTAATAATTTTTTTTTAAATTCCCCTTTACAGAAGTTGCGATCTATAGGGGCGATGATGTAAAGGCCATCTGTTGCTTTGGTCTATGGTTAACGAGGGTGTCATGTGGCCAGCACAACGACCAACCACCTTTATTTACCCCAACCAATGTACTCATTAGAGCTGGGTGTTCCAGAGTGTTCAAAGATCCCAAAATTAAAAAGCCCAGTCTTCAACAGGATTTGAACCTGGGACTTCCAGTTTGGAAGCCAAACGCTTTACCATTCAGCTGCCGCCCCTCAAAAAGATAATTTAAATCGACATAAATTTAGCTCAAAAATGGCTTAAAGTGAAATGTAAAGTTAAAAAAAAAAGTAAAGTTCCCCTTTCAGACCTTGTGATCTATAGTACAGAAGACCAAAGTTTAGAGTAAAATTATTCAATTGTTTCGTTTTATTGTATTTTTCACATTAAGGAGTGAAAGGTTGTTAAAAATTATGTCTCCCTAGGGTCACTTTTAGGACATATCGTCTCCATATAACATTCTTATAATGTGTATCTCTAACCTTTTGTTTTTCTTACCTTATCTTATCTGAGCAATCTTTTGAATCTTCTTTGGCTATGTTAGAACTGAAGATTTCACTTTTAGAACCCTTAAAGTCTGTTGGTACATCTCTTGATGGTGTGTCCGGACTCACCTCTGCTGTGGCCTAAATCAATTTATGCTTGCCCCATTTAGCCTCAAACTTAAACTTACAAAACTAATCTTTTCAAAGAAAGAAAATGGATTTTAATTACTGTCTTTAAGAAGAAAAAAAATGACTTTGTCTCTTGCAATTATGGACATTATCTTTAATACAAAATTTAATTAACTGTTTTGTAGAAGAAGAAATGTAGTGGTTTATATACTTGTAATTGCATTCCTAACAAGTAACTACCTTTGGACTCTGTAGTTAAGGATAGAAATTGTTACCTTCAACGCTACATTCTGTGTTTCAAATAGCTGTATTAGACTTTTGCTTGTTTGAATAATGCCTGGTGTTTGGGGTTTTTGTTTCGACAAGGGAGATAACTAGAGATCAGTTTTTGAGTGTGTCAACTGTATGCTTGATGAACACTGTGTATAAAGAATTATTGCTGAATTATAAATTTTTGATAATCAAATAAACACCTCAGTTTTGTTTTCACTCACAGTATTACAGATTTATTATTCCTAACACTCTGTGTGGCTGAGTTGCATAGACTGATTTCTACCTAACTGAAAATGGGCATCAGTTTGAATCGGATGTGGACTACTTAAAATAAAGAAATCTCAGAGTCGCAATAGTACATAAATAGTGGATGCCTTCTCAATATAGTCCTTGAGGTTATAGGTCATTAAGTAGACAATTTCCTATGACCTTATCTCTATAACGAATGTCACTGGTAATTATCTCTATAACTAATGTCACTGGTAATTATCTCTATAACTAATGTCACTGGTAATTATCTCTATAACTAATGTCACTGGTAATTATCTCTATAACTAATGTCACTGGTAATGAGCTTTTATTTAGGCTAGTGAATTTTTGTCTTTTTTTTTTTTGTTTTTGTTGCTAGCAACTATGATGATAGGGCATTCATTGTATAATCTAATTTTATTGCAAATGCTTCAAGTCACAATAGCGTAGGACCAAAGTGCAAAGTTAATAGTTTAGTTTGAAATTTCATGCACTTCATTTATAAGTGTGTTCATTTAGCGACAGATTAGTAATTAAAAAAAAAATATGTAACATCCTGTCTTTAATGTGTATTTCATTTGACATACTATTTTTACAGCCTCTGATTTACTGAATCTACCTTTATAACCTCTGATTTACTGATCCTACTTTTTCAGCCTCTGATTTACTGATCCTACTGTTACAAGCTCTGATTTACTAAATCTACTTTTACAACCTTTGATTTACTGAACCTATTGTTACAAGCTCTGATTTACTGAAGCTTACTTTTACAGCTTCTGATTTACTGAAGCTACTTTTTCAGCCTCTGATTTACTGAAGCTTTTTATAACCTCTGATTTACTGATCCCACTTTTATAACCTCTGATTTACTGATCCCACTTTTATAACCTCTGATTTACTGAACCTACTTTTAAGACCTCTAATTTACTGATCCTACTTTTACAACCTCAGATTTACTGATCCTACTTTTTCAGCCTCTGATTTACTGAACCTACTTTTACAACCTCTGATTTACTGGTCCTACTTTTTCAGCCTCTGATTTACTGAAGCTTTTTATAACCTCTGATTTACTGATCCCACTTTTATAACCTCTGATTTACTGATCCCACTTTTATAACCTCTGATTTACTGATCCCACTTTTATAACCTCTGATTTACTGATCCCACTTTTATAACCTCTGATTTACTTTTTTTTTTTTTTTTTGCTGAAAAAAAACCGTCTATAATTTATAATAAGGCTTGTCTTCGAGTCTAAGATAAGTAAAGTAGATTACATTCAAGCTTAAAGTCTACAAATCTTTCAAAAACATAAATAAATGACTGTATAATATATAACCAATACATAAACTAGCATCGATGGTGAAGTCTCCTGGTAGTTAAAAAGCTACCAGTAACTGGTGTTACAAATCCTGACCATTAGTTAAGATGACCCACAGCCTCGCGTTGTTTTCGGATCCTGGTTTGAACCGTTAGTGGATTACTTAAGGTGCTGTCAAGCTCAAGTAGCCTAAGCATTTATGACACTTTCAATGATTATCCATTCAGACGTCAACTAGGCAGCATTGTTTATCTAAGTGGGCATATTCCAGTCCGTTGAGTGCTATTATCTATGTTAGTTGGACACAGCAGGGTGGTAGACTTTCGTAGGTTCAGTTGTTCTCAAACTTCTACAAGTAGCGCTCTCCCCTCCCCCACCCTCACACAATTTTAAAAGAGCCATGGGTCTGATGGAGCGCTGTAGTGTTTCGTGGATATTTTTTAAGTTATAGTGTTCTACAATGGTTCTCAAACCTTTACAAATGCGTTCCCCCCTATTAAACATTAAAAAAAAAAAAAGAAAATAGTTTGCGCCCCACTTAGCCAGAAAATTACACGTGAAATCGCTGTATTGAGTCTGGATATTAATAATGAAAAGTTTTCCAAAACTTATTTACTATAGATTCAGAATTCCAATGTAAATTTTGTTTACGGAAATAGTGTTTCGTGTATTTTTTTATGGTATACTAAGTTTTTGAGATGCAGAAAGTCCTTCCTCCTGTACAGCAAAGGTGTCTGGAAGATAGCTGTAAGCTACCTCGGCGGGGTCAGACGTGGTGACCCGCCCTTTAGTTTGAGAAAATCTGTGTACCGGTAGACTTTAGTTTGAGAAACGCCGTGTAGACTTTAGTTTGAGAAACCCTGGGTAGACTTTAATTTAAGAAACGCCTTGTAGACTTTAGTTTGAGAAACGCTGGGTAGACTTTAGTTTGAGAAACGCTGGGTAGACTTTAGTTTGAGAAACGCCGTGTATACTTTAGTTTAAGAAACGCCTTGTAGGCTTTAGTTTAAGAAACGCCGTGTAGACTTTAGTTTAAGAAACGCCGTGTAGACTTTAGTTTGAGAAACGCCGTCTAGACTTTAGTTTGAGAAATGCCGTGTAGACTTTAGTTTGAGAAACGCCGTGTAGACTTTAGTTTGAGAAACCCTGGGTAGACTTTAATTTAAGAAACGCCTTGTAGACTTTAGTTTGAGAAACGCTGGGTAGACTTTAGTTTGAGAAACGCTGGGTAGACTTTAGTTTGAGAAACGCCGTGTATACTTTAGTTTAAGAAACGCCTTGTAGGCTTTAGTTTAAGAAACGCCGTGTAGACTTTAGTTTAAGAAACGCCGTGTAGACTTTAGTTTGAGAAACGCCGTCTAGACTTTAGTTTGAGAAATGCCGTGTAGACTTTAGTTTGAGAAACGCCGTGTAGACTTTAGTTTGAGAAATGCCGTGTAGACTTTAGTTTGAGAAACGCCGTGTAGACTTTAGTTTGAGAAACGCCGTGTAGACTTTAGTTTGAGAAACGCCGTGTAGACTTTAGTTTAAGACATGTTGCGTAGACTTTAGTTAAAGTGATGCGTGTAGACTTAGTTTAGTTTGAAAAACGCTGCGTTGACTTTTAATTGAGAAACGCTGCGTAGACTTGTTAAGCAGCTAAAGTAGACTTCTACGCTATGACAATGTATAGAAACAGCAATATTATTTTTTTTTATGGACATTAATCACGCAGTTAATGACCTCATCACTAGACTAGTCTGTAATGCAAGCTATTGTATGGAGGAGACAGTGATGTCAATTGAGATGTTTAGTCCTCACTTCAGGTTTTTTTTTTTTTAAATTATGCTTATACACTGCATATGTATTAGATTATAGTTGTTAATGGGGACATTGGAGTCACGACCTCGCAAGATGGCAAGTGCCCTTTCCCTGCTGATGCTACATTTTTTTCTTAAATTTTCCATACTCGACAGCTATCCTTACTGTTACTGGGCCACGTGGTTATTATAGATGTATAATGTAACACTCATTTAGAAGCTATAAAAATTACAAAGTTATTAATACATGAATTATATAACACTTGACAAGTCGTGGAAGGGCTGTAGTGAAAGTTTAATAATGGTGATACTAAGATCCAGTTATTACAGCATCTAGTAACAAGCAAAAAAAAAAAAAAATAAGCAAAAAAAAAAAAAATCAAAGGAGAATAACTCCACATTCACAACTATATTTATAATTGATGTATATTTTTAAAAACTTTTTCGATAACATAATAATGTTGATACTAAGCCCAGTTATTACATAATCTTGTAACACGCGAAATATGCAATTAAAAAAAAACTAGAAAAAGGGATTATATAAGGGGAAGAATTCGACATTTACAACTATATTTATCATTAATGTAGAACTTATTTTGCTTTTCTGATATCAAAAAAGTAATTAAATACTTATGAATAATTCGTTGATTTATATTTTGATGCGTACAATTGATCCGAGAAAAAACATATACATTATCTTAGAGACAAAACCCTACATTTTTAGCTATATCTCTTAATACGGAAGTATTAATTTCCTTGTTGGTATCAAAGAAATGATTTAGTTATCCGTTTTTAATTGAATGATTCGTTTGTTTTTTTTTAAATTGATTTATAATTGTGTACATTTCAACTTGATCCGATAAGGAGTGTGGGATAAAAATGTGTACCAGACAGACAGAAAGACAGAGTGAGATTATATAATTTAGCTATGTAAAAACAAAAAGAGAGTCTGTGTTATCACATAAACTCAAGCGGCTCCCGCCCTTGAGTACGCAAAATAGATGGATATTGTTGTAGTTGATCAAGACATTTCCTGTTTGTTATATATGTCTCTCTTTCCTGTTTGTATATGTCTCTCTTTCCTGTTTGTTATACATGTCTCTCTTTCCTGTTTGTTATACATGTCTCTCTTTCCTCTTTGTTATACATGCCTCTCTTTCCTCTTTGTTATACATCTCTCTTTCCTGTTTGTTATACGTCTCTCTTTCCTGTTTGTTATACATGTCCCTCTTTCCTGTTTGTTATACATCTCTCTTTCCTGTTTGTTATGCATCTCTCTTTCCTGTTTGCTATACATGTCTCTCTTTCCTGTTTGTTATACATCTCTCTTTCCTGTTTGTTATACATGTCTCTCTTTCCTGTTTGTTATACATCTCTCTTTCCTGTTTGTCATGCATCTCTCTTTCCTGTTTGTTATACATCTCTCTTTCCTGTATGTTATACATGTTTCGGAGGTTAATTAAATCCTAGCTCAAACCTGGCGCAGGACGACGAGGGATGGCAGCGTGCATGGTTCAAACCCGTGACCATCGAGACATAGTTCAGATCGCATACCGCACGACCAGGCAAACATTCTTGCCTCTCTAGAAGAAATTCCTCCATTACGCAATGGGTCTAAACGGACACGACTGTAATTGTAAGAAGGTCGCATGGCAGTTTGCCACTATTAAATAACTTGAACAATTATTTATTATTATTATTCAAAACTTAATTCAAATGTAAGAAAACCTGTTTCAAGAAAAAATAATGAAACAGTTTCCTCTCAGTACAAGCAAGACAAACAGCAGGTCTCCGTCAGTGCAGACAACACAGACAGTAGGTCTCCGTCAATGAAGACAATACAGACAGCAGGTCTCCGTCAGTGAAGACAAGACAGACAGTAGGTCTCCGTCAGTGAAGACAAGACAGACAGCAGGTCTCCGTCAGTGAAGACAATACAGACAGCAGGCCTCCGTCAGTGAAGACAATACAGACAGCAGGCCTCCGTCAGTTAAGAAAATACAGACAGCAGGTCTCCGTCAGTGAAGACAATACAGACAGCAGGTCTCCGTCAGTGAAGACAATACAGACAGCAGGTCTCCGTCATTGAAGACAATACAGACAGCAGGTCTCCGTCAGTGAAGACAAGACAGACAACACACAATAGCGAATTCTTTAGTGTCATTATTACTGAATAGTCAAAGTCACCGTTCAGACACCAAAACTTGTTAAAACTTCGAGTCATGTGACATAACAGCGCAATTGCGCATGATCCCACTGAAGCAGCGTTTCTCAAATTGTGAAGCGCGACGTTTCTCAAACTTTTTCCTGAACGGAACACTTCGCACATTTTAAGTATTTTTTTTACCTTTACCTATTCCTTAGTCTGTTGGACCGTTGGGGCACCAAGCAAGACTCGTTTACCGTCTTTCTCCATTCCTCCCTGTCTTTTGCCTTG